ACACATTCCCCAATTCAGCACCTGCAACTCTCTACTCGGAGCGGACTGTGACAATTGACTTAACCAAGCAACAATCTCTTTCGGCACCTGCTAGCATTGACCTTTATAGCAAATCTGCAGCTGCACCTCTCCCAGCTCCTCCGACGATTTCACATGGTCTTGTGAAAGGTCAGTAGACAGTAAGCATAGATTGTATAATTTGTTGCCAGTTTTTGTCTTATGCATCCTGAGGAGTTGAGGTAAACATATGAGAATTAATGATTAATTTATTTCATGACAGGAAAAAGAAGCACCACTGGGCTTACCTTATACGCACCTTTATACCAAGCTGCAATGAAGGGTGACTGGGAAAAGGCTGATGAGTTCTTTAAATCCCATCCAGGTGCTATAAATGTTAGGATCACCAAGGAGATGGACACGGTTCTCCATATCGCAGCAGGGGCTAAACATACCAAGTTCGTTGAGGAGGTGGTCAAGTCGATGACGCGAACCGATTTAGCTTTACGGAACAAGTACAATAATACTGCTCTATGTTATGCAGCTGCCTCAGGAGTCACCAAATTAGCAGAAATGATGGTGAGCAAGAATAGAAACTTGCCAATGATGAGGAACAACAGAGGAGTGACGCCTCTTTATATAGCTGCGTTATTCGGACACAAAGACATGGTCTGGTATCTCTACTCTGTCACTTCAGACGAATATTTAACGCGAGATGACTACATCGGTCTGCTTATTGCTACCATCAGCACCGATTTGTTTGGTAAGAAATAGCTCCTGTTACTCAATGAATAGCATATTGATCAGGGCCTGGCCTAACTAAACCCCCTTTTTGTATTCATAGATGTAGCCTTGAGCATCATTCAACACCAACCAGAATTAGCAATTCAGCGAGATCAAAATGGGGAGACAGCACTTCATGTTTTAGCTCGAAAATCATCAGCATTTGCCAGCAAAAGTGGGCTTGGATTCTGGCATAGATTTATTTATCCATGTGAGTATTTTCTGTTGCCCCCTTAAATTAACATTAAATCATGAAGGAATTCTTTCCACTGGTTTGTAATAAACCACATATATTTCTTATATCTTGAATCTTCAGACTTCAATTGTCGTTATTTTCTGGTCTGTGATGATTAACTGTTGCAGTTTACATACTTCTTAGGGATCTTTGTGGAAGTACCTACCAAATGTAGCTGCCCATCTAGCATCTTCCAAATCCATAGGCACAGGAGTAATCAAGGTTTGTTGATTAAACTCATGATCACTTTTCCAATGCATTTTAGTCAAAAGCTTTCATCAACATAAAGGCATATGGATCTTAACCTTGTCTGTTTATAAGAGAAACTTTTCGAGTCTCAATCTTATCAGTTTATATTGGTAGAGATTTTGTCAGTTACATTAATGACAAAACTAATACTTTCACAGTACTGAAATTTGACTTGGAATTACTTAGCAATTTGGGTTCTTGAATCATGACAGAGTCTCTCAGCTTGGTGGGACAACTTTTCCGTGCGATACAAATGAATGGTATGCTGAAATATATAGTAATGAGTTCATTGAGTTCACATTAACAAGTACATTTTCTGAGTTATTTTCTTTTATAGTCCCTGGAATCAAGGCAGTTTATGACAAGAAGTTGATGCACACACAAGTTCTTGAGCTGGTTAAGCTGTCGTGGGAACAAGTTCTGTTATTGGATGACTGCCAAATTGCAGAGTTGCTTGCAAGCCCGTCACAGCCACTCTTCGTTGCGGCAGAGTTTGGAATTGTTGAGTTTATAACTGCACTTATACGCTCTTATCCTGATTTAATATGGAAAGTTAATGAGCAAAGTAGAAGCATTTTTCACATCGCCGTAGCACATCGCCAGGAAAAGATCTTTAGCCTCATTAATGATATTGGAGCACACAAGGACATGATTACTGCTTATAAAGATATTAACAATGCCAACATATTGCATTTGGCTGGAATGATTGCACCTCGGGATAAACTTAATGTTATTTCCGGCGCAGCCCTTCAGATGCAGAGAGAATTATTGTGGTTCAAGGTTCTTACTGGACCCACAACTTTGTCATACTTCTATTTTGAAGCTACAGGATTATTAATTTCTTACTTTGGTTTTCTATTCTATATCTTTAGGAAGTTGAGAAGAATGTGCAGCCTTCATTAAAGGAGATGAGAGACAAGAATGGTAGAACACCTCGAATGTTATTTACCGAAGAACATAGAGGGCTGGTTAAAGAAGGAGAGAAATGGATGAAGAATACTGCTTCATCATGCATGCTTCTTGCTACACTAATTACTACAGTGATGTTTGCTGCAATTTTCACAGTACCAGGAGGCAATGACAACAGCAAAGGCACTCCACTTGTTTTGGCGTCTACATCTTTCATAGTCTTTGCCGTGGCAGATGCATTTGCACTCTTCTCTTCAGTTACTTCTATATTAATGTTCCTTTCCATACTTACCTCTCGTTACGCAGAAGAAGATTTCGTAGAGTCCCTGCCGAAAAGATTGGTAGTAGGTCTTGCAACACTCTTTTGCTCTATAGCAGCCATGCTTGTAGCATTTGCTGCAACCTTTTGCATTGTGCTTGACCATCGATTGGCATGGATTGGTGTCCCTATTTCTCTAGGTTCCTCCGTCCCTGTAACTTTATTTGCATTTTTACAATTTCCACTTTTTGTTGATATGATCCATTCTTCATACGGGGCTGGCATTTTCGCCCGAAAAAGCACAGATATGCTATACTGATAATAGTTTAACAAAACATTCTTGTGACATCTGACTAGCATCATGAGCCCTCGATTTAGAACTTGTGAATTATGTGCAAAGGAATGAAAAGAAGTTGAATTTCAGAAGCCAATTCAACTTTCTTTTGGCTGATCCTTGGTTAAAACAAAGAAATTGTGAAGCTGCTAACCTCTTTGAGTCCATGACCTTTTCAAGGAGAGTACATGTGCTGAGGGGAGACAAAGGGGTGAGGGTTGTGCTTTCAAGTACTGTTAATAACTGGAGGGTGAGATTCTGATAAGAAGGATCGCTTAAAGGCCTTCCTCCCATTAAGCACTTCATCTAAACCATTCAGGATTTTTGAGCATGAATTTTGCTATCAAGGCTGTTCCTTTTACCATTTCCTGTTAATGATTAAGCAATTAAATTGCATATCAGTTCAATGAGTGAGGGAGACAGGGAAATTATTAGATTGGAGGTTAAGTATTTATATATTGTTAAAATTTCAAGATTTGATAATGGTGAATTTTAAGATTTAAACCAGATCAAGTTTAAAAATAGATACGAGAGATTAACTTAGTGTGTCTTAATAAAAAATTTAAGTTAATCTGTTACCTAATCTATCTGATCAAAAATTCTTGATTTTTTTTTAAAAATAATATGGTTTTTTTATAAAATAAAAAAATAAATTTACCTAAATTTACTATGATAAACCTATCAAACTTCTAACCTCGACAGAGGATGGTTTAGAAATTAGCTTACATCAAATGAAATGGATAATGATTTGAATTGATCAAATTACCTAACTAATATCTCGAGTTAGATTCTCTAAAATGTGATGAACAAGTAAACCTGAAAATGTGATGAACAAGTCACTTTGTAACCTTATCTTGCACTTCAGTTCATATACTTTTCTTGAATGGAGAAAAAATAAAACTATTATTAAACTTGTTGGACACATTATAATGCACTGAAAAAAAAAAACCCTAATCAAGAGCTGATTTGATGTCTGTAATTTCAAGAATGTCATTAACACCTCTTGATGTAGCAATGTTATTTTCTTTTATCAAATTGTTAAGCAACTTAGCTAAATTCTCCTGATATCATCATCTTATGCGAGAAGATACTCTAAATATATCCATCAACGCTTCCTATCGTCGACCCCACGGTCCATTCCCTTTAAAATTTAAAACCTTTTTTTAATCATTATTCCTCAGCAATATTAATCCACTATAGTAATATTTATTACCATACATTGTATTAAAAATAAACTAATATATTTAATTAATTTCATCTCAAGTTTAACACAAGGTCAATAAAACTCTCGTGATTCTAGTAGTATTGAATCTATTGATCATTGTTATCAAATTTAGTATAGGATTTAACTCGCTTACCAAATTAATTTACAAGTTATAGGTTAATTTAGATCAAATATTTTATTAAAAATATAAAATAATATTATTTCATTATTTTTATGTAAAAAAATTAGATTCAACTATATCACTAAAAATTCAACCTAATCATTTAAATTTAGAGTAGGTTTGGTACCTCATTGTAAAATACATAATTAATTATATTGAGATATATATATATATATATATATATATTTTATTTGAAATTTAATCTAGGTTATACTATAAGTCACAAATTCTTTAAGTTAACATACAATTGTACCAATTTTAAAAGTTATTTAGTATTGCATTTTGATTTATATCTGATGTGTTTTAAAAATATATTTAGTATGGAAAAACATTAAACCAATGTTATTTTAGTGTTTTTTTGATAGTTTTAATATGATGATGTCAAAATTTAAAAAAATATATAAAAATATTTCAATACATTTTAATGTGATAACCAATTTTAAAAAATATTCTACACCACAATATCAAACATATATTTAAATAATGATTAACATTGTCATCCAATTTTATTTTTTTAAAATTTAAATTTTAAAATTATTAATTTTTATATTTTTCCAATTACATATGTTGAAATTAAGAATAAATTTTAAAAAATAAAAATTATATTATTTTATGTTAGAATAAATATAATTTTGATAAATCTAACTTGATATTATTACAAAAAAAATTAGATCGAAAAATATTGATCATAATTCTAAAGCATATTCATTAAAAAAAAAGTAATGATTATTTTGGACAGCTTGATCAAGACAAATCTTCTGATCATTTTCTTGATTTAAAAGATAACAAGAATTTAGAAGGTGATTGGACTACTAGATACAATGATCCGCCTTCCCAAAATCACGTTAAGTTACTTAAAAGCATCAAAAGACGTGGCATCTTCTGACGTATCAGCTGCACATTATAACCGTGCTCCGGCACTCAGCTAGCCCTCCTCTACCACCACTAGCAAAAATTATGAGTGAGAGATTAAAGATCAGAACCCCTAAATCCCCAAATTCCAGCAAACTTCCCCGCATGATGGCGCGAAAATCCTCTCTATTAAAACAAACCCTTATTTTCTCTGCATGCACAATCCTCATCATCTACGCTTTCTTCAACACCTTCCTCAGCTCATCCACAGCCGCCGCCGCTACCGGTATCTCCTCCACAACTTCATCTCTCTTCGCCGAGCAAATTTCTCGAGAAAATTTCCAAGAATTTCCCGAGAAAGCGACGGAAAATGAGAAGAAAGTTAGAGTTTTCATGTATGATCTGCCCAAGAAGTTCACTACTGGAATCATCGAGAATCATGCGTTGGCGCGTGGCTCTTCTGACTTGTCTAAGGTGAGTTACCCGGGTCACCAACACATGGGTGAATGGTACATGTATTTGGATCTTTCCCGACCCGATTTGGACCGGGTTGGGTCACCTGTGGTGAAAGCCAATGACCCGGAGGAGGCTGACTTGTTTTATGTTCCGGTGTTTTCTTCTCTCAGTTTGATAGTGAATCCAGCTCGGGTCGGGACAGTACCCGGGACGGATCCGGTTTATAGTGATGAGAAGATGCAAGAAGAGCTGGTGGAGTGGTTAGAGGAGCAGGAGTATTGGAGGAGGAATAATGGGAGGGATCATGTGATTTTTGCTGGGGATCCGAATGCACTTTATCGGGTCTTGGACCGGGTCAAGAATGCGGTTTTGTTATTGTCAGATTTCGGGCGGGTTAGAAGTGATCAAGGGTCCTTGATTAAGGATGTCATCGTGCCTTACTCGCATAGGATTAATGTCTATAATGGCGATATTGGCGTGGAGGAGAGGAAAACGCTCTTGTTTTTCATGGGCAATCGGTACCGGAAAGATGTAAGTTTATTTTCTTAAAGTCAATGTGAAATTGCTGAAAGAAAAGATTTATTGTGTGTGAGAAATTGAAAGATGAAATTATTGATGATAGTTTCATTAAGAACTATTGTTCTTAGCATTATTCGTGTTATAAATTTGAGAATTGACGTGTTTATGCCCTTGTTTGGTTGAGAGAAGGGTATAGGTGTGGAGAATTGTTAAAACGTTTTCGTTATTCCTGGGTGTATAGGAAAGATGATTGTTTTTAAAGATTATAGAAACTTGTTGGAGAAATGTTAATTATTTTTGAGAAATTGAAAGATAACATTGTTATGGGTTTATTATGATGTAGCACCAGGGGTAGTTGCTTTAAGGATCTCCAAACCAGTGGTGAGATTAATGCATTGTAGTTCCATAGACAGAAATAGGTGCTTATATGTCACCAGTGGTCAGTTCCCTTAAGAATTACTTGTCATGCTAAGTAGAGATACTAATACATAGTTTTGTTTGAAGTGACTATCCTTAGTACTGCCCTGAATGGATAAAGGTGATATATAGCATGGCATTTGAGATATATAGGTGATAAAGGTGATATATAGCATGGCATTTGAAGATGTTTTATTGAAAGAAAAATATTACTTTTACTGATATTTAGGTCACTACTTTTCATGATCTCATGTTTTCTTTGAATGCTTTGCGTTTACAGGGTGGAAAAATTCGTGATCTGCTTTTTCAAATGCTTGAGAAAGAAGAGGATGTTGTAATAAGGCATGGCACACAATCTAGGGAGAATCGACGCACAGCTACACGTGGCATGCATACTTCAAAGTTCTGTTTGAATCCTGCTGGTGATACTCCTTCAGCTTGCCGACTATTTGATTCCATTGTTAGTTTGTGTGTTCCATTGATAGTCAGTGATAGCATTGAGTTACCTTTTGAAGATGTCATAGACTACAGAAAGATTGCAATTTTTGTGGACACTGAGTCTTCTCTAAAGCCAGGATATTTAGTTAGAACGCTGAGAGCAGTATCCACTGAGAAAATTCTGGAATATCAGAAAGAGATGAGAGAGGTAAATTCTACTTGCATTTACTTATAATCCAACCTTCTATATTGCTGAAGGTGTTCCAGTCTTTGTTGCTCTCTTCTTAATCTTTCATTGTATTGTTGTTGTTCTGTAGCTGTCACAGTTATTGATTTTGGGTATTCTTGGAAAGAAATGATGAGTCTTTTGTTAGAAGTAGGGATTTGGAATTCCTGTCTGTATTAAATAGATAGAAGTGGGACGAGGGAGCATTATACTAGTAAAAACTGAAGTTTCTTTTTATTGGCTGAAGAAATGATGCAAGAGGTTTTAAGGAAAATTATTTTTCCTAGTTATTTCTATTTTTTACTATTTGGTTTAGGAAATTAAATATCATGCGTAATAATTTTATTTTTTCTATCTTGTTTAGGACTTTTATTCCTTTTCCTTTATTTTCAGGTTTCCTAGTTTGTTTAGATTAGTTTTCGGGTTTATTTAAGGAGTTGTAAACCTGAGAAAAAAGACTACTAGAAGAGAAAATATTAAGCCGTAAAATTTCAAATTAGGATTTTTGTCTGGCGACCCTTTTCGGCAAAATTTGTGCTTATTGTTTTTCATGTGTTGATTCGGCAAAATTTGTGCTTATTGTTTTTCATGTGTTGTTTCCGTATGCATCGAGAAAGCTAATTAAAAGGCATGATTTTAAACATATTTTTATATGGATGACCATAATAAGTATCATTACTTGCATGCTGAACAAGGATGGAATAAAAAAATTGCTTTTAATGTATTTAACTAATTAAAAAGCATGATCTTAAACGTATTATTGCAGTTATATACTTACATTCCATTCATTCCTTAATGTTTTATCTGACATGTTGAAGTCATTTCCTTAATGATCAAAACTTGTTGTAACATCAGTTGCTTATATTTTAATGGTTGCTATTTTGAATTGTATGATTCAGGTGAGGCGATATTTTGTGTACAGTGATTCAAATGGAACTGTGAATGAAATATGGCGTGAAGTAGCACAAAAACTGCCTCTTATTCAACTGATGATTAATCGTGACAAACGGCTTGTTAAGAAGGATTCTACTGAACCAGACTGTTCTTGTCTATGTACAAACCAGAGTGCACTGATCACATCCTTGTGATACCAAGTTCGTCTTGAAGCAAATGCAAAAGCTTAGTTCATATGTATCCAGATGTTCTCGGGGAAAGGCTCTTTCTTAGGTCCAGAAGAATGACAAATGTTAACGCATAGCTTTTATTGTCTGAAGTAGAAGGAAGGAGCCCCCTGCTCCTTGAACACGTTTGTTTTAACAGTGCACAAAGGTGAGGAAACCATCTTGTTAGAGAGAATTGCTCCTTGGATAGGTTGGTTGTAACTATGCACCAAGGTGATGAATCGTGAAATTGTTTTCTCAGCAATCATGGTTGTAGATTTATTTTTCCTATTTTTTTATATAATTTTTCATAAGTTCACAACTCATGTTACGTAGCATTTGATCAGCCTCGATATTGGACGTGTACATGTAGAAAATAAAATTACCATGATTTTGTTTGATTTTTTCATATCAGCGTCATCCATGTTTCTTGCTTTGTTTACAAAACTAGCTTTATATACCATCATCTGTTGGTAAATTAGTGATACTGTTCTCAAAATACTGGAGTTCGGAAATAATGAGAACAAAGATGTGTTTGATAGAAAAAACAGATATTGTTTGTTTGTTGCTTATGTTTGATAGAAAAAAGAAAAGAGAGAAAAGAGAAAAAAATTGTTTATGATAATCATTCCATTCTCAATAGATAATAAATATTTATTTTTTTAGCTATAAATGAAAAATAGTTGCAGAATTTCAAAATTTAGCTGCAGATGCACCGGCCAGGTTGGTAAATGACAATCTAGCTGCTTAGAGGAGAGAGAGCCAATATTTCAATTTTAGAGGCAAACTTTAAAATTGAAATGGGATGGGATGGGATGGGAGTGGAATTGTTGGGAGGGAAATTAGCCATTTGAATAATATTATGAAGTTTAATTATTAAATAATAAGGGTAAAATTGAAAATTTAATTTAATAAAAAAATAAAAAAATAAAGTCTAAATTTGATATAAAATTAATTTGAAATCAAATATTAAGGGGTGAAATTGAAAATAAAATTTAATTAGAAAAACAAACAAATAATAATAAAAAATTCAAAATTAAATTTAATATAAAGATTAAATAAAACAAAATAATGAGAGGTAAAATTGAAGAAAAGAAAAAAAAAAATTAACAATAAAAAAATAAAAATTAAATTGAATATATAAAAAAGGTTTATCGGAGCCGCCTTCGTGCAAACACGTAACACCAATAAAAGGAGGACGGGGAGACGCTTCAAATACTACACAGAAAGGCAGTGTTTAGCTATGATACAATGCTACACACACTTCTCAAATAGTGTGCGGCACACGTGACTGTAGCATTTTTTAAATAATGTTAATGATTGTTAAAAAATCAAATTGTTCTCGTGAGAACTTGTTAAATATTTCAAAATAAAAAAAATCTTTTTGAAGCAATCTTAATAATTTTTTCTTTTAAAGTTATTATAGTCTGTATATTGTTCTTTAAAAATATAAAAAGGTAAAATAATTCATTATCAACATTTTAACAATTTTGCTTATAAAAATAATAAAGTATTTATATTTTGCATGTAAAAGAGGAAATATCTAATTGCTCTTTATAAAAATTTTAAAAAAGTTTGCTTTTAATAGTAATATAGTCTGTATTTAAAAAATAAAAAGATTGGATTATTTTTTTATCAATTTTATAATGATAAATAAATCATATGAAAAATATCAAATTACCTAGAATGAATTCACCACCCAATTTTATTTACGAATTTAAGAAGAATTTCAGACAAAATAAGAACTTTAAATAGTTGTATTTTGCGCTGGTAAAATGATGAGCTTGAACATTTATCTTCGGCCTGGATCGTTCCCGAAAAACCAGTCTTCTATTATAAAATAAAACCCTCCAATACTTAAAGTTAATAAATATAAAAAGAGAAAATAACGTACAGAAAAATAAAAATAAAATAAAATAAAATTATGTAGCCTGCGTGTATGGCATATGACGTGGAGTTTGTATGGTGCAGCCTGTGTGTATGGCATATGACGTGGAGTTTGTATGGCCTTCCTTCAACGGCTAAAGGTAGCTTCGGCTTCGTATGGTTTGGAATGGCCTCCCTCTGATTACTTGATTATTGGGAAAAAGAAAAAATTCCCAGAAAGATTCCTTGAGTGACGCGTCGTGCGTGTCACTGGTGATGTCAGTGTCGACATTCTCTTAGAAAATTGTCGTTCGTTTTTCCATATTCCAATGGAGCTGCCGGTGAAAAATATAGGAAAAATGTGCGCAGAAAAATATAAAGTTTGTGGAAGAAAAAATACATACAAGAGGATGTCGAGATATTATTGGACAAACCTGGTCCAATAATATCTGGATTTGACTTAAACCGTGCAATACACACAAGAGCATGCCGAGATTTGCTAGACGTCTAGAATGCTGGCTGTTCGGCCTAGCTCAAATGGTCAGCATGGCTTAAACCGTGTAATGTAAGTGCTAACGAGTGGGTTGTGTGTTATTTTTTGTACCGTGCATCTGGTCACAACGGGGCGTATTGATGATCTATTTATTTCACGTATATGTTTTTAAAATAATAATATCTATTTATTTTCCTGAAACATTAACAAACACGTCAATATTTCCCAGCCACAACGGGGCTTATTGATGATCTATTCGGAGGCAGTGACTTAGGGGTGAAGAATACTCTCCTCATTCGGATTTCTAAGAAGGCAGTAGTAAAATAATCGATTTTGTTTAGCACTTTGGCTGGCAAATAGAAAGCAAAAACATGATGATTCCTAAGTGAAGTCTTTAGAGATTACAGATGATGGGAAAAAATCTCCATTTATAAGGTTTTCGTAAGTCCCAGGTGACAACTATCACAAATATTCAGATCAAATATAAAAAGAATTCAAGAAAGTGAGGGCATGGGAAACAAGACGGTGCAATCAAGCTTCAAGATGAATTTATTCAAATCTTTAACCAGGCGGCCATTTCATTTGTCTTCCACCCAGGACATGCAAGTGGAGATGATAGACAGATTGACCTGGACAGAGAGACCAGGCCATCAGCACAATAATGTATGGAAACAGCACTAACAGAGACTAGAAGTTACAGAAATGAGGTGAGAGCTTACAGGCACCAGGACCATTGTTGATAACAACACGAAATCCATCGAGGATGCCTTCCTTTTCAGCCACTATTCTTGCAGCGTAGAGAAGTTGGCCCAACACCTCTCCATGTCTGGCTTCTGCCTGATAAAAAGGAAATACAGAAGGCAAACTACCATTTTAAATTACAAGGCTGGATCAAGTCATTTGAATTAAATACTGATTTACAACACACTCATTTAAGAAGATACAGTTTATACGGTGAGGAATTGTTTCTATTCCATAGGTTTATAATATTTTTGCAGGTTACAGTTTTATGGACGCCTTACAGTATAAAAAAGAGAAGGAATAAGGGGTGCATTTTGGTGCAAAATACAGCATGCAGAAGGAACATCTACAAGTCAAGTCAATGGTATTCCACACGAAGGAGAGCAATCATAAATAAACATTTTGAAATATATACCATGTTAATTTTTATCTCTGTTCTCATGTCCATCCATTTGGTTAAGTATGCTCAGTGAAGATTCAAAGCTTTGCATCAATGTAATGTGTATGAGTATGTGTGCGTGCATTCAATGAAAGATACATGGCCATTACTAACCTTCCCAAGCGTTGTCAATCCATCCCTGGCCTTTGGAATGACCAAAACATGAACAGGAGCCTGAGGGTTGATGTCCCTGAAAGCTAGGACCTTTTCATCCTCGTATACAATGGATGAAGGAATTTCCTTTGCTATGATCTTGTCAAAACTGGACAGGAAAGGTAAAACTCTTATCAGCATGAAAGCAGTGCAATAATCTTCAAGAAATATCACTCCAACATGTCACAGGAAAGATGACTCTCAGTTCATATTCTACATAAACTGTCCTCCTCTCATCCAAACACAACATAAATCTCCCAGGCTCCCCTCCCCTATAGACAGACACAAACTTCAAGTTTCAGGTATCCTCGCTTGTTTCCTGAATCTACGTAAGTGAAGATTATCATTCATTTCTCAGCACCTCAAACAAAGATTCTTTCCCAATAAAACTTCCCTATTTTTAAAATGCCAATTTTGAAGAAATTGTATGCTTCTTTTCCTCATTTTATTTTGATAATGAGTCTCTATAAAGAACTAGCAAGTATCAACTATTATTATCGAACAGTCTTTAAGAGTTTTTGAAACCTCGCAATAAAAAATAGGGTCGCTGGACATCTGATAGGGAATATCTAAAGCGTTCAATACAAGAGGTCCTCAGACTATTTTTAAAAACATGTGATCAAACCAGCTATGTCACAAGTGATGATACATGGTTGGAGCTCCACTGTCGGCACTGGCTGCAGCTGCTTTTGCAGAAGCCTCTTCATCGTGTATAGCATTAGTGCAAAACAGAGATCTAAAAATAGATCATAAGAAATAAAAAAAATCAGCAAAGGATTCAAAGTAACAGCTAAACTTTTCTTTGAAAATCTAATGGAATGAACAATAACTAAAACATCATAAAGCCCAATCAAGAATAAACTGAGTATAAAAGAAAAGGGAACAGCTAGAGGATCTTTGCAGCATCATTCAAATGAGTGAGGGAGATTACCATCCATCCTAACTGAAAGTATGACACAAGGATACTGAGCTACGACCTACAAAACTGTTTGCTTTAAATAAATTTCTTTTCATAATCTAGATATGATGCAAGCTTCAGTTGATTCGAGTTCTATACATAAAGCATTCGATCATCCCAATATTTAGGCTTTCACTGAACTGCCACTTTCAAAGCATGAATCTTTTCCCTGACTAAGGGGTCACACTTGTCTCATATATTGCAAGCAGTACATTTTCACATTCAATAACCACAATCTCGATTGAAACCAAATTTGAACATTAGGGACCATGACGACATAACTGTAAGTGAAGCAACAAACATGTCGACGAAACCCTTAAACAACTTCCACAATCATGCAATGAAAAAGAAGAGGCTTGCTGCCCAACTTTTTAATAATGGGTGTATCATCCCTCAAACTCAAACAACAAGGTAACATAAAATCCAAACCAAAACATAATAATTACGACCCATTCCAGTGTTTGACATGAATAGCTAAAAACAACAATACTTTTCAGGCCATGAATGGACATATATCATCAACACATAGATCATAGAAAGCAAGCAGTAATATTTATCCTATAGAATACAAAAAGTAAAGCAAAAGATCATTCAAAATACCTTTGAGAATGGTGAGGATTAAGGAACTTAATTGAATTGAAACTAGAGGTTGCCCTTGGTGAGACTCTCACATTTGAGAATGCCCTTGTAGTTACTGCACAATTCCTGTTTATATACAAATATTAAACCAACCCACAAATTGCATGGAAATGAAAAGTACAAAGAGGGTGTATGTAGAGGGAAAGTACCTGAGCAGGCTGAAAGACCCAATTGCAGCCATGTTTAACAGTAAGTGCTGAGTCCTTGAGGGATTAGCTAATGTAGGCAAAGAAGTACATTTTCACTTACCTGACAGTATAATCTGGACCGCCAAAAGTTCGTGGGCCAACCCAATTGATATTTTGACCAACGGTTGTTATAAAGTTGGAAATTTGACGCGTAAAGCCACCTGAGTTAATGGTGCTTTTACTCCTCCTATTCTCAATTGTTTATTACTTTGCTCCTCTAACTTCTATTCATTCTAACATCATCTTATTATTTATTATTCTCTATTTTACAATTATTCAACCCTTTCTTTAATGTTATAAAATCCCACTTAAAAGTATATATTTGAGATTTGATCTATGTTTATATCAATCACACATCAAATATCAACAGTGGAAGAAGAAGTTATTGATGATTTGTTGATTGAGAACTACTAGTAAATTTTTTATTTGTTTTTTATGCTATTGTCTTGTATGTATCGTATCATCTTATATCATATACCAAATGCTATCTTGGTGTGAAATATTTTTTAAGAGTTTGTTTGATATTATGGTAATATTTATTTTTTAAAATATTTTTTGTATAAAAATATATTAAAATAATATTTTTTATTTTTAAAATTTTATTTTTAATATTAATATATTAAAACAATATAAAAACATCACAAAATTAATTTAAGACAAAGAAAGAAATAAAAAAATTTAATTTTTTTAAAAATATTTTTAAAACATAAAAACAAGCCATTGAATTGTTTTTTTTTAATTATCTAACATGGCATCATATGTTGCGCTTTTCAATGGGATTTGTAACAATAAATTACAAAATATTCATAGAAGGATGATATTAGTACAAATAAGAAGACTAAGGTAACCAAACTAATACGGAAATGACACTAAAGGGACTAAATGCATCATTAACCGAAGCTGCCAATTTTACTTGGTTAATTATAACAGAGACGGGGGGGGAGGGGACCGGTCCTTTAAAAAACATGGCGAATTTCGTTTCGAGACTGCCACCAACCAGCTTGAGAAGCTTCTCTATTTCAGTTTGATCAAATAATACCCTTTCTGTCTTTATAACGCTAACCCCAGCATATATATATATATATGTCTTTATAACGCTAACCTATATAAAGAACTACTGCTTGTTTATAGAGGCCATTGATGAGAACCAGACCCGTAAGAATCTAATGTCTTTTGTAATTTACACTTGTTGTTTTAATTTGTTTTCTGGGTTGCTACTACTTGAATTCTTAATATTTTTATTTAATTGCATGTCTTAGTTTTTTAATATGATATTATAATTTTGTTTATTTTATTCTACATGATAAAAACTAAACAGATTTGTATAAGTTACAAGTTTAAATGATATTTATTTAAGAGAATATGAAATATAATTATATAAATTATATCTTAAAATTTTAATTAATAATTTAGATTTTTAAATTAAAATGTTTTTAAAACTGTATTTTAATAATGGTGAACTGGATATGAAATGAGTATGCCCGGCAAGCTCTTAAAAGAATACTTCCAGTTATGTTTAAACAGTAACAAATGCTCTTGAACTCTGATTTTTCTGTACCATCAAATCGCTGACTTTGTCAAAACTAGAAACTCATTTCACAGAACGAGACTTGGGAGATCTTGATTGTTCAACCCTTGCATGCTTAAGACCATGTAGTGCCAAATCACAGAGTACATGTTTTTTGGGGCATTAAAATGAATTTTGAAGTAGATAGGAGTACAAAAATGGAGGCCTAGGGGTGTGTTCTTGCTACACCTGTGTCTTTCCTTTGAAGACGAGGATAATGAGTTGCATCCTATTTATGCTTCATTGGATATCTCACATCTCGATTGATCCCCGAGGAAAAGTGAGAAATGGGTCATATGGAAGTGCCCTTTAGTCCTCTCCTCTATTCAGTGCTAAAACAAGGTTTATATATGGACCTGCTTCCTTAAATCTCACTTCTCTTCCCTCAACTCTTAATTCTGACCAATTGTGATAGTTTCAGAAATTCATAAACTGACGGACCTGCTTCCTTAAATCTCACTTCCCTCAACTCTTAATTCTGACCATTTGTGATAGTTTCAGAAATTCATAAACTGAATCTGATATGTTCTCAATTCGAATGGCATGTGTGTTCTAAAGAAGATGTGTTTCCTTAATTTCAAATGCGTTGTTTGTCATCATCGATCGACCTTAGTGAATACTGCAGATATTGATGTGCTTGAGGTTGATCGATGGAGTTCACTATGGCATGTGTTCACTAGTGTTTCTTGTCCTATGCTCGTACGATGATATTATGTTTCTCTTCACCATCTCACATCATCACTTGTTCTCAATTTTTGTCGCAGGATTCCCGGCGGGTTGCCATCGTTATGAAACTCACCGGCGCCTTGGGGTCCCAACGATTCGTTGCAAATTTCGACCTCTAAGGTTGACGTCGATCTCCTGTTAATTCTTACTGATCTTCATCACACTCTAATAATATTAAGTAATTACGTATCTTGCCTTTTCCATTTTATTTTGCAGCATCACCCCTCTGAGTCTTGGTATGTTGTCTTTTCCAAGAGACTAATCTGTAACTTGGTTTGGATATCGCTATTATATATCCTTCACTGTTGATAGCTATAATGTGAGAAAAATGGCTTCATGTTTTGTCAATTTCTTGGATGTCCTAAACAGTTTCAAGGGTTTCAATACGATTCTTGATGGGCGGTTCAAGGTTAATGGAGGATTTGAGTAAAACTATTTTTTTTTTATTTTTTTACATGTGCCTGACAAGTGCGCCTCATGCAATTTTCATTGCATTCTTGATTTATTTATTTTTTGCTAAATGAGAGCAATTTTTATATATTTTCTAAAATATAATTGAAAAATTTACTCTATTTATTATTATAGATTTTTTTTTTCCTGTCAAACAAGAAACCATTAAAAAATATTCACTTTTAGCTAAGTAGACTCTAAGTTAGATTAAGGATATAGATTAAGAGTTAATTTATTTAGGAACACAACACAAATTATATTTTTTTAAATTATATTTTTTAAAAATTATTATTATTATTTTATATTTTTATATCATTTTGATATGCTGACGTCAAAAATAATTTTTTAAAACATAAAAAAAACTATTTTGATGTATTTATAATTAAAACACACTTTAATCCACAACCATATGAGAATCTAATTTACACTAAATTGGTAAACAAATATATTGGTAAATGTAGAGAATTAGTAGGTGGATACACTATCTGTTTGTCTTTTATCTATCATAACCCTTACTTTTACACTCATTTTTAAACAGTATAGATCCAATCATGCTGGCTTAATGTCTACTTTAAGCATGTTTTCATAATCCAAAAACTTAGTGAATTCTTCTCTTATACGCCCAGCATGAAAACCCTCCATGGCCCCAACCATCATTAAGAACTCGATCGGTCCTATATTGTAAAATCATCACCATATATATATATATATATATATATCCAGTCGCCTACACTCAAAACATTTTCGGGACCGGATTAGGTAGTTGTACAATTAATTATCAATAAAATAAACAATTAGGGTCAGGTTTTTTTTTATAAGGTACGTAGTCACATGCCATCAAGAAATCCATAGCACATAAATTAGGGTTTGCATGTGACTCTTGTGACAGTAAAAGATACCGTCGCCACTGCATGCAAATCATAGTAAAGTGAAGAAAATTCAAATTCTGATTTGTAATCGCTCTAATACTGAATAAGTATGTTAATTAAGATGGCTGTAAATGGTTTGTATAAGATATATAAAGGATTAATTTAGTGTCGATATATACTTAAAAACTAGCTAGTTCAGAATTTTTGAACGGTTAAAACTAAAAAAAAATAATTATTGATTATTAATTAATTTCAAAGATGAAAATACCATTAGGTAAAGTTGAATAATTTTTAAGTGATTTTTTAATACTTATAACATATAATATAGACATGTTATTTCTATTTAAAAAAACATAAAATAAATATAATTTTGTCGTAATTTTAAAATATGTATTTATATATTTTTTAAAATAAAAAATTCTTTATCCGTATTATCTCTATCTTTTCTCTCAATATAGTAACCAAAAATTATATATATATAAATAGATTTAATTTAGTTAACGTGTGATTGATAAAAAGAATGTAATTTACTTCTTTTTTTTTTTTTTAAATCTGCTTTCCACTTTCGTTCTCCATTAAAAAACAAAAACAATACAGTTATCCTCCGCCTACTGCAAAAAAGGACAAACAACTAACTAACCGCACTCACTCACTCTCTTTCTCTCTCTCTCTCTAAAACTCCTCTTCCTCTTCAAAAGACTCAGATCTGAAGCTTACGCCATTGCTCACTAACAAATTCCACTGCCAAATTTTCAACCTCCACAGCTCCATTTCTGTAGGCTCTCTCTCTCTTCCTCTCTCTTTTCGGCTTTGCTAAAGATGTTAGCTGTGGTTTGCATTTTGAGAGTTACTGATTTTTGATTGATTTCTAGTTTAAATGGCTGCATTCTTTGTGTGCTCTGTTTGGTGGCTTCGATTATTTACAGTAAGAGAAAATGCATTAATTTCTGTTTCTTGAATGTCATTAGGATTTCTTAGATACCAAACTCACCTTTTTTTTGTTACGATATTTGCTGTTGTCACTAATTTTTGATAGGTCAGCTCAGGTTTGGTTTCTAGTGATATAGGAGTTACAGTTTTTATATTTATTTGCCCTCTACTTTATTTCTGTTTAAAAAAGAAGGAAGAATACCTCTAAAGATTTTATTTTTTGAACTGGGAATTAAATGATGAATGCATTAATATATATACAAAATTTTGTAAAAAAGGGTGATTGCGTAATTTGGAAGCTAAAAATTGTTAGGAAAAATAACTTAGAATTCAGTACTCGTTTAGATGGTAAGGTAATGGGTTTTTAATCCTAACTTGCAGGATTGTGAGGTGGAGTTGAAGTTGATATAATTAATTAATGGCAAACTCGTGGCAACATTATTTGACCTACGATCCATCTCTATCGCCTGCTGGTGTAAGATCGAGGGAATGGGAGGGTCCGTCGAGTTGGACTGAGTATTTGGGTCCTGATATGAGTTTGCCAATGACATCGAGGGTGTCTAGGAAAAAGGGTGGTTCAGATGGACAGGTTCAGATTTCATGTGGTGGGTATCATAAGGGTTTGAATTTGGGGTGGGTAGTTCAACTTACTGAAGTATCTGAAGGTATTATGGCGAAAATGTATAGATTGAATCAAATATTGGATTGTCCGGATCCAGTTGGTCAAGTGTTTTCGGAAGCATTTTGGAAAGCGGGTGTGCTCCCAAATTATCCGAGGATTTGCTTATTGCTCTCGAAAAACTTTCCTGAGCATTTCAGTAAATTGCAGCTTGAACGAGTAAGAATTTTCAGTATTCTGTTAGAAGAAATCTTGTTTTGTCTTGTTGGCTGATAGATGAGTTATTTAACATACGGAAAAGTGGTTCAGGTTGATAAGGTTGCTTTGGATGCTTTGAATGATGGTACTGAAGTTCATTTGCAGAGTTTGGAGCCTTGGTTCCAGGTACGGAGTTTGTTTTCTACCACACCCTTTTCTATAATGTGCATGTCCAATGCTCAAGATCCCTGATGAACATTACTTTTAGTGAATACTGTTGAAGATTTAGGACTAGGCCTTTGTGGCTGATTAAGCCTCTGTCATAATTAAATATGTGTTGGTTAATGTATGAAAGCATTCTACTCTATAAAGATTTGTGTTTGTCTCAATGGCTGAGTATTCAAATGCTTTTTTTTAATCTTGATTGGTTAAGGATGAACATGTCAGAGGCAACATATTTATGTTTTGATGTCTGAAAGTCAATTTCAATAGGTGTTGACAACCATATTTACAATCTGGTTCAAAAATTCATCAGGTTGTAGTATCACATATGAAGTCTTATAAGATTCAAAATCAAGGTAATTAAGAAATATGGTTTCTGGCAATTACTTGCTCAGGCTTGCCTCGGTACAAATTACCAGGAAGTTAAGCCCAGTTTGAAGTTTGGCTGGAGCCTAAATATTACTGTAGCTTGACTTCTTGAATCTTGTCGTAGCATCCTGACTGACCTTGAGTTCATGAAGTCTCTACATACTGGGCAACCAAGTGATGTGAGATATATCAGCTGGCATGGCTCAGCTGTTGCAGATTTATCATGCTTGTCACCTAAAAGTGAGAACCTTGCTTAGTTGCTATTATATGGAAATAATTTAATGGTGCTCATTCAGCTAAATTCTGTATTAGTCCCAAGAATCCTTGATATGCTTTAGCATAATGATACTTGCTTTCATAATGAATTGCTGTTCTATTGAGGTAAAACTTTAGTGATACAGAAACAAAGTAATTGGAATTAATGTATCTTTATGTGATTTTTGTAGAATTCCAGTGGCCAACGCCAGGGTCAGTTCTGTAATTTGCCTTTTTCAGGGTAATTTCGTATTTTTTGAAAGTTGATCATTTAACTTTTCAGCATCAAGGAAGTGACTTGCCAACTAGCACCAGCTATGGTGCTCCTCCTTAGTACAAATCCTTAGTGCACCTCCTTACACGCTCTCCCTCTATATGCGCGCGCGCGTATGCGTGTTTGAGGTTGTGTGATGCAATCTATCATAGGTGTGACTCCTAAGAGCTCTAGGTGTGATGGTTTTCTATCTTCTAGTTCTAGGTGTGATTCTTAGAAACCCTACTAGTGTGACTAGTAGCTTTTGTATTTAGTTTAATTCAGTTTATAACCCACATATCCTTCATCCTTTTATCTAGTCTGGTCAACTTATCTCAAAATCCTCTCAACCCTCACCTCAATCCATCAAATCTGCTATAACTTGTGAACCTCAGCATTTAGTTGCTGTAGTTGGAAAGATCCTGCATCACTTAGAACTATCTCCATGATCATATCATGCCTCTCGTAGGAAATTTGATGCCCTTTTGTTTTCATTTGTGGACAATGAGACACAGTTGATGCGTTTTAAAGACTGTTTAACCCTCAAAATTTTTCTTAGTTTACTATATAACTGACCATTCAAGGAAAAGAATGTAATGATAATGTTGGGACTATTTACTATTCAAGTCATCTAACATCGCATTCTAACCAATATGAAGTAATGAAGAAGCTAACTTGATATATATATTTTTTGGTTCTAAATCAGGAAAATAGTCTTTAGGAAGGGGAGGAAGAAATGATAATGGAAATTGAATTATTGATATATAATTTATATTTCAAATTACTTGTGCAAATGCTAGCCGAAACAGTGGTCAGGCTTAAAACTGAAAATATAATTTTCCATCTCTGCATGCTTGCTCAAGCCTTAATATCCTAAAAGGCTGATAAGGGAGGCAGCTTTAGCATGCTCGTAATTGCTCTGCTACAACTTTGTTTTGTTTTAATTTCTAATTACCATGGCCTAAATGTAAACATTATGAAAAAATTGAATTTGTTAACTTAGTCTAGTGCTCATCAGTTTATTTTAATCCTCTTTACTTCTCAAGAAAAAGAAGATAGTACTTTTTTTCCAGAGAAGGTTTAAGAAAAAATAAACTTGAAACTATCTACCTTTTGTCACTTAAAAATTGATATGCAGCTTAAGGTCACTTATTTCTATTATACCAGAACTCATCCACGCTTCTAGTTTCTAAACACTCCTTGAGAAGCAGACAGTTAAGAAAGTAGCCATCAATAAAGATGTTTGTGGTAGACAAATGGTGGTCATCTATAACACTTAAGGTGGTACAAATCTCTTTGCAAGTATAATTTCACTACTGATCATTGGATTGGTCACTGGTGACTTTGGCAAGTTAAAAGGTTAAATTGCATGTAGATTCGCATAAACAGCATCATGTATCCAAAGGTTTGATAGATGTATGTTCTATAACTAATCATTATCCTTAGTATGAGCAGATGATAGCATGATGGAAAAGAGTATGGTGACTGGAACAAAATGAGGACCGAAAGTCTTCCAATTACATGCAGTGGCATGGGATAGGCAGGGTATGGGTGTGATTGACAATCAACGACAAAAGGGGGATTTGTTTTTTCTGTGGTTGCCTGGCTAAATGTTTGCCCACTTCTGTACTTCTGCGGTAACATAAAGACAGAAAATGAGAGAACACCAGTCATAAAACTAGAATGAATGTAATAGGACATGAAACTCAAATATCCTATCACTTCCCACCCAAAAGGGAGATGAAAGTTACACACTTATTTAGTTTATCTTAGAATTTAAATGATCAGTACTGCTATTTCTCTTAGTAACCATATTATAGGATGTGTGGGGTTTGTTTGCATCATCTTTTATTATTCTTTCTATACTGTTGCTTGTTTCAATGGTACTTGTTATGAATGACTTTCAGTAGTTATTAGGTTTGTAACCCAAGTTTTTTTTATTAAAAAAAGTATGTTTAACAAGTTACATGAAATTGCGTACTTTCTTATCATTATAGATTGTAAATCAAGATTTATGGCTACTTAATGGCTTGCTTTTGTGTGGCCAGCTACTTCTTGACCTGATGGCATTCCGAGAACAAGCTCTGCGACTCATATTGGATCTAAGTAGTACTGTTATTACCTTGTTGGTGAGTATCAAAATCTTCTCGTTTATCTTGTGTTTTTAGTTTGATATGAAGTGCAATCTATCTACCTCAATAGCTGAAAGATTCATAGAACTTTGGTCTATCAATATGTATCATGCACTGCTTGATTTGAAGATGTTGAACAGACCCTTTCCGTTTTCTTTTCCTCTTCATTTAGAAAAGAAGAAACATAGTGGCTTGATTTGTTTATGGAATCTCCGATAACTTTGTGCAGTATTTTGCAGCCCAATCAGAACTCGCTTATACTGCATGCATTTATGGATCTCTTTTGTTCCTTTGTCCGTGTTAATCTTTTTTCTGAGAAGGTGGGTGGACTTTGTATTTCGTGCTCTTCTATATCTTCCTTCTCTTTTGTACATTCCTTTTATTTAAGAACTTACGTGCATTTATGCATTCTTCTTATCTGGCTGACAACATTGAACTTTAATGCCTTGTACAGATACCGAGGAAAATGATGCTACAAATGTATAACCTTCTGCATGCCATGTCAAGAAATGATAGTGACTGTGATTTCTATCATCGGTATAGAATACATTGACTAGTGCAATTATCTTTGCCTGTCCTGCTATTGGGCCAATTATAATGAAAACGGGGGCTGATGCTTCTCTTGTATATTCTCAGTATCCTTGGGTAGCAACACAATTTAGGCAGTTAGTGATAGAAGATAATGACCATAAGGGATGAGACTTTTTTTTCTGTTTCTCGACATGCAATTTGCAGATTAGGATCTCACATAATAAAACTTGACTTTTTTATGAACATGCTATGCTTGGATGGGAATGGAAATGGGGATATCTTCTCTATTTATGCTAGAACTGCAAAGGAAATTTGATAATCTTGATCAATGAATAACTTTAACAACTTCTCCAGTTTCTTGAAAGTTGAAAGTACATTGATCATGCATATTTGCGATTTTCTATCTGCTGAAGAAACTTTATGACATCCAAATTTAGATACTAAAGTTTTGTAATATGTTCTGTTTGCTTCTAGTGGATTTAGAGTTTCTATGTCAATAATTGTGAAGGTTATCCGTGTTGAACTCAAAATGTCTAGTTTGATTGAGTAGGGATTCTGCAAGTAATAAGGAATATAATTTGTAAGTTTGTACGGTATAATTACTCCTGGATTTGTTGAAGATGTTGGAGGTCAATAAGACAACCTGGATATTCTAATAAAAGAAAGGAACTCATGACTAGCAATATTTACTTTGAACGTTGAATTCGAAAGCTACCTGTGATATTGAAAATGATGAGTTCAATAGACCTACTAAGTCAGTTGCAGTACTAAAAGGCTATAATATGATTGGTCAAAGCGGTTCAAAATTGATTTTGAGTTTTATTTCTAGAGTTTTGCGCCCTACTTGCTCCTTTTACAGTAGACTTGCTGTAATTGCATTGCTCACTCTTTGATTTAGACTTTATTTGTAGAGCCACCATGAGCACATTAAAGTAATGCCAAATGATTTATCACCTTTTATTTATAGTGCTCTGCCTTTACATGTTAAAATTCAAATGGTTGATTGTCCAGTAATGATCAGTACACTAAGAGGTGGAACTAGAATTTTACACTCCCGGGAGGGCTATATATATATATATCACATATTTTAGAAATTCTTTAGGTTTGGTGCTCTCCATTAACCAGAAAGGGTAGTTCTACTCTACATATTACTGCCTAAATATCTAGTTTGACAGGCTTATGCAACATAATTCTTGAGCAGTAATGCTCAGTTTAGCATGATACTTCAGTTTATGTTAGAGGCGCTTTTTTTTTTTTTAATCTTATAGACATTACTTGTTTGAGATATCTCTCCTTTTGAATTGCAGGTTGGTTCAATTTATAGATTCTTATGATCCACCATTGAAAGGGTTACAAGAAGATCTAAAATTTGTCAGTCCACGTATTGGAGAGGTCATCTACGTTCCTTCTCTATCCAAAAAAGTGATAGTGATAATACTAATCATATTTCTATTTCTCTGTGTGTGCATGTGTCCTTTTTATTTTGTAATTTTATGTTATAAGACATTGGTATCTAGCCTTAATCGCTAATTTTTCTCTCTAAATCTTCATAGTGTGATGATTCTTCTGTAATAGCAGAGGGTTGGACCGTAAACTTAAAAAATGTATCATGTAGCTTTCTAGTATTAGTAATAGCAGGGGATCTTCTCCTCCGTGTTCTTTTCTTCTCCTATCAATAATACTTCCACAAATTCTGCAATCCGAAGGAAAGGAAGTTTGTTGGATGATATCTATGAAAAATGAGAAGAGTTTTTTCTTTTCCTCAGAATTTGGTTAGTGTGGTGCTCAATTGGACGTGTGTTTATAACGGTTATGCTGTTGTAAAATGATCATTAAATGAGCTACAGCAAGTAGTCCTTTTTACATATATCACAAAGGAGTTTGAATATTAACAAATTCCAAAATCATTCTTATGATTGTTTTTTGTTGGATTGCTTAAATAATATCAAACTTAAGTTTCAATATTTATCTCCAGGTTTTAGAGGCTGTGGGCCCTGTCATTTTCCTATCTACAGATTCAAGGAAGCTTAGAAATGAGGGATTCCTTAGTCCATATCACCCTCGGTATCCAGATATACTGACAAATTCTGCTCACCCTGTGGTACATGCTGTTTTGAAAGATCTTGATATTTGGGTTAAATTGACTTTTAAGTTCTGAAAGACATAGTTACTGCTAAACTTCGTTGTTGCGTCATTTTCACATTTCAGAGAGCCCAAGATCTAGCAAATATTACTTCTTACAGGGAATGGGTTCTACTTGGATATCTTGTTTGTCCAGATGAGCTGCTTCGTGTCACTAGCATTGATATCGCTCTGGTATGCCTCACATCATTCATGCATGTTATTCAATAGGGTGTTCATTAAAAATCAGATACGCGCTGCAAGGAAGAACCTTGTTGTCGAAATTAGATACTCAATTGAATACATACCGTGTGAATGACACTTTCAATTAAATAAGTTAGACTACATCTTACAAAATGTTGCTCATGAAATTCTACAGTTCCGAAGAACATACTAATGTTGGATTTTACTGTCATGAAAAGCCAGGCTGAATTAAATGTCATTATTAGCATTGTTGGTTTCTGACTAGCATGTATGAAACCAGCCCAACTTCTTCCAAGCCTATATTTCTCAAGTGCAGGTGACCACATATTATAACTCATAAATGTATCAATATTACCAACTCGTGAATGAGGTCAATCTTTCTCTTAAAATTCCACTTTTTGTGTGGATAGTGGCTTTCTCCCTCATTTATGACACGAGAACCTCGTTTAGAAGTAAAACAGTTTCTGATGACTTTGTATCAAAGTATATGAAAGTCAATTATGGATTAACCGAATCCTTGCGCTTTCAAAACTTGTGAAATCTAGCTCTCATCTATTGAGGATTGTTGGAGAAAAGAGTCAATACTGAATTCATTATACATAGTTGGTAAATATTAATATAGAGTGCCTTTCTGGCTTGGTTTATGTGGCAAAGCTTACCTCATGGGGTTTGGAGCAACTGGTGGAAAGTTGTGTTGTTTTAAATTCTCTTTGATCCAGTTTGCTGATTTCACTGCACCTTTATCATTTCCTTATCAGATTTCTGGTGATATTTATTTACTTAGCTGATAACACGAGCAGTGTTTTTTTGGACCAAATGCTTTTCTCTCTATTTCTGGTATTTTTTCTCTGGCACATTCAAAAACAGAAATTCTCTCTCTTTAACTACTGTGAGGGTTTAGCAAGAATTATCTGGATGCTTCATACATTTGTTCACTGATACTTCTTTTTCACTATGATTTCCTGTTTTTTAAAATTTTCAAAATGGTTCTCAGGTCGTACTGAAGGAAAATTTGATACTTACTGTATTCCGGGATGAGGTTAGTAGCACTGTCAATTGTCCAGACCATGCTCTCTGTTTACAATGGCTGATTTTTTGTTGAAATCTTGAACATGCAGTATGCACTTTTGCATGAGGATTATCAGCTATATGTTTTGCCTCGGATATTAGAATCGAAGAAGATGGCCAAGTCTGGGCGTACTAAGCAAAAAGAAGCAGATCTCGAGTACAGTGTGGCAAAGCACGTTGAGAAAATGATAAGGTAAAACTTAGTTTTGATTCTTGGTCTTGATGGAAGGAATGAAACCATCACTGCCCTCTGGTTTTTTTCTTAAGACTTATAAACATTAACCTTAAAAATAATCAATATGCTCAATATTTTATATACTTTACTGATGAAATTGTCAAGGATTAATCTAGGGATGTCAACTTGTCACTTTCTGAAGTAGCTACCAAAGTTTGTAGATATACAGAAAGGAGGGAAAATGTTTCAGCCACAGTTCTATCATCAGAAAGCAAGTGGCGTGTAACTGCCATTATTGGCCTGGTTATAAAAATGATTGAGCTGTGATTCTAGCAAAATAGAAATGTTGAAGAATCCTGACAATGTGGTGAAAAATGATCAACTTTGTACTCCGAAATCTTGTCATTTATGTTAATGATACCTCATGTTCAGATGCTGGGATTTTGCTTGGTGCATGGACAATGACAAAAAGTGCACGGTCTCTTGTTTGCTTGTGTCAATTTTAAAATTTCTTCTAATATTCCACTAATATTTGATAGTTAGCTTTAATTTCTTGTGGTTCTATTATTCTAATAAAAACAAAAAGAAAAATCAGTATACCCAATGTTTCAGCATCTAATGTGATTTGGATATGTTGTGAATGTTGCAGCGTAGTGCACGAGCAATCTCTTCTATCGTGTGATGCCATTCACCATGAGAGGAGAGTATTATTAAAACAAGAAATAGGAAGAATGGTACTGTTTTTTACTGATCAGCCAAGTTTATTGGCTCCAAACATTCAGGTAAATTTGAAGTGATGGTACCTCTCCTTTTGTCATCCCATCATTCTGCTTCTTTTCAAAGCTCTAAATTTAAGCATATGGTTGACCAACTCTGGCTATGTTAGGAATCCTTTTGTTCAGTCTCAATATGTATGCAGTATTTTAAATACATAATTGATGATAATTGAAATTTGATTTCTGGGCTGATGGGTAAAGAAAACAATGAAGTGGGGTAGGGGTGGGGGAGCAATTTGACTTCTCTTTGAATCTATTTTACTTGCCATGGTACCAAGTATGCTTATTTACCTGCAAATTATTCCCGGCACAATCATTCTCTAATGTTATGGTGTTTCTTACAGATGGTATTCTCTGCCCTGGCATTGGCACAGTCTGAGGTTATCTGGTATTTCCAACATGTAGGAATTGCATCATCAAAATCTAAAGCTGCTCGAGCAATACCTGTTGACATAGTACGTCAAGTTCTTTGCTTAAATCCGATGTTGTCATTATAATTCTGTAAAAAGGTGACTCTGGTTTTTAACTTAATTTGGTGTTATTTTTGGTGGCAGGATCCAAGTGATCCAACTATTGGCTTTTTACTAGATGGAATGGATCATCTATGCTGTCTTGTGCGCAAGTATATTGCAGGTTAGAGTTTGATGTAAATTTTTTCCCCTCACAAATCATACAATTTATATTGATATTGCACTTAAAACTGGTTAGCGTTTTGATTCTTTCTCATTGGTGGAGTAAAGAAGCAAACCATCCCAACCCCAGAGTCATATAAATGATCTTACAAGCTACTTTGTTGTGACTAAGATGGTAAAAATGTCTTACAAAGCTAGTACGCGAAAAAAATGTTTAAAATTGAATGAGAGTGAAGTTTGATAATTATTTAAAATAGCAGATGGACCTTTTAACCCTTTAAAACTGAAAGGTTAGGTTTTCAGAGGTTCTATCATGACTTTAGAGCCTGGTGTTGTTGTCTTATGTTTTCTTATTGTTGTTAATCCACCAGATTGTTTTTTGGTGGCTATTATATAAATTATCAGAGAAGTCACTCAGTTTGTAGTTCCAATGTGAGAAACCATGAAATGCTGAACAGTTATTGTAGTGCTAGGCAAGGGTCAATTTTATGAAAGCAGGTTCTTATTCAACCATGAGGCATTGTGATCATTCATATTACCTGAAAGGCCTATATGCCTCAGTTTGGAGCAACTAGTTTTATGGCATGCAGTTATCTTACTCCACGGGTCTCAAGTATGGACAAACAAGTCTTTAAACACTCTCATATTTAATGCAGCTATCCGAGGCTATGCATTATCATACCTGTCTTCATGTGCTGGTAGAATCCGGTTTTTGCTGGGAACTCCAGGAATGGTGGCTCTTGATCTTGATGCTAGTTTAAAAGGGCTTTTCCAACAGATTGTTCAGCATTTGGAAAGCATACCAAAACTGCAGGGTGAAAATATTTCCGCCATCATGTGTGATTTATCTGTAAGAAATCTGTGTAAATCAAGTTCAGTTTGTTATGGTGAAGTTTTCTGAATTTGAATTGACACTGCTTTGTAGTATCACTGGGTATGATAAGATTTTATGCACTCGTGATTTTTCAAGTGCTTATTGCTATAATGTCAAGAATTAGACACCTCTATCACACAAGGATTTCTCATTTGTATTTAAAAGACATATATGATTGGGAAAGTTGAAAGAAGGTATTGCTTGAAGGAAACCAACAAAACTATAATCTCTGTTCGTCCTCTTATCTTTGACTTGAAAGAAACCATGGTGAAGTCAGCGGTATTGCATTCAGAAATGCTATGTTTAAGGAAAAACTTTTAACAGATATATAAAGAATGGAAACAATGGCTATTGGTAATTTAGTGAACTTTATGGTTGTTTATTTTATGTTTCTATTCGTTACATATTCATTTTACAAATCATTACTCTTGCATTTATGCTTGGCTTTGTAGTATGTTTCCTTCTTATCACGGGTTCTGTTAATTCCTTTAACAATTTTTTTAGTTGTTGCCATTTTTTCTATCATTGTTTTCCAGAATTGGCTTCTTCATAAGAGCACCAATAACAATATCATGGTATGTCTTTTCTAAGCAGGAGTTTCGCAAGGATTGGTTGTCAATATTGTTGATTGTCACATCGGCTAGGTCATCTATAAACATAAGACACTTGGAGAAAGCTACTGTCTCTACTGGAAAGGAAGGCTTACTGTCAGAAGGAAATGCTGCATACAATTGGTCCAGGTATTCCCCGACTCTTGTTCGCCTTATAACTAGTGCTACTGCTAGGTTGCTGAAAAGTTAGCCCATTACTGGACTGACTTCACGAAGCCGATCCGCATAGTCTAACCCCTCTAGTTTGAGATTGACACTATGATTTGAGTGATACAATTATCTAACACAATATATAAACTATAATTATCAACATTATATCTGTATAAAAGTTAAAAACTGACTGACTTATTTGTTGATGAATTGATCTCACTCAGAATCAAACCACTGCCCAGAAAGTCAAGATGAAAAGCTTATTTATTTTATTGAAATTACTTGGAAAAAAATTTAATGTAATATGGACAATTACTGTTGTGCCCTTGAGCAATGTTTCAAAAAACTTAAACAACAATTAGTCTCGCTAGAAATTCATACCACAACATTTGAAGTGGCCTTGTACCGAGTAGCTTAAACTTTGAGCTAAATGGCAAATGCTCTACCATGTTATCGGAGTTAGGCACGTTATACCACTTATTAATGTTGTCTGGTTTTCCTTTGAGACTTTGAACCATGTGCTAGACCAATAGTTAATGTTAGATGACTGTTTCATGACTGAGTAAAAAATGAAGCCTATGGGCGTAGGTTCCCTTTTTTCTCCAAACAGCATCTCAATTTCATTATCTGCTGTACTGTATTCAGGAGGTTACCTTGTTCACATGGAAAAACCAAATTATTTTGTTCAAATTGAATGTTGTTGAAATCTACAGACAGGAATCTCTTTCAATTGCAGATGCGTTGATGAATTAGAGTTGCAATTATCAAAGCATGGAACTCTTAAAAAGCTGTATTTTTACCATCAGCACCTTACAGTAGTGAGTTCCTGGCTTATTTAGTTTATAATTTCAAGTCATGAAGGCTGGGCTCCTCAAAATACTCAATTGGGTATTGTTGGACTTTCTAGGCAGCAGCTCTGTTGCTTTTCGTTTCCACAATTATTTTGCTTGGGGTTACTCTTTTCCTTACGGGCTCCTTGTTATAACCAACCATGCATCTTTTTCCATGTTAGGTCTTTCGGAACACCATGTTTGGACCAGAAGGACGTCCTCAGCATTGCTGTGCATGGCTTGGTGTTGCTAGTAGCTTTCCAGAGTGTGCTTCTCCAATTATTCCAGAAGAGGTGATCCACCAACTTGCTATTTCAGTTGGGGAGAGGGGCTATGATTGATGATTTTTTGCTGAGAGAAATTGAAATGGGAAGACTTGGATTTTATTTTATTTAATCTGCTGCACTTTGCGTTGATCCATACTCGTTAAGGGCATGGTTGAACAGTTTGCAAAGAGGATAACTCCAACAACTGCTTAACCCCCCACCCCCAACTGTGCCTTCTTCCATTGTGCATATCATGTAATGGAAATGTCATGAAATTTACTTTGTACTTTTCTGTAAATAGGTAACGAAAATTGGGCGAGATGCAGTCCTATATGTTGAGTCTCTTATTGAATCTATCATTGGAGGATTGGAGGGATTAATCAATATTCTCGATTCTGAAGGAGGATTTGGTGCCTTAGAGGCTCAGGTTTTTACTTTGAACTGTGATATACTGTAGCAGATAAGGAAATGCTTGAGTAGCACTATTAGAAAGCTAATGTTTTTGGAAATGTCAGCTTCTTCCAGAGCAGGCTGCTTTTTATTTGAATGACACATCCAGAGTTTCAATTCCTACATCAAAATCTACCAAGGGAGCAGTTGGCTTTCCTTTGCCTGGCCATGAGAGCTACCCTGAAAATAATAGTGCTATAAAAATGTATGGAATTTAACCTGTGCTGCTTTTCATGGATAATCTGCAATGATACAACATGTCTTGATTCTTGATTTTGTGTTGATGGCAGGTTGGAAGCTGCGATGCAAAGGTTGGCCAACTTGTTTTCAGTTCTGAATGATATGGAGCCTATATGTGTTCTAAACCATGTCTTTGTTCTGAGGGAGGTGAGGCTGCTGAGTTTGTGTTTAACTTCTTTGGATGGGTATATGATAGCAGACTCTGATATAGGTGTCTTATAGTTGACTAAAGTACTATGAGCTTGCTATTTGTCTTCTTAACTCCTTATAGCCCCCGTTTGGTATTTCATTCCAAATAGAGGTCGGAAAAAATTTAAAATTTATTTTTATTTAAAATTTATGTTTTTTGATCGTTTAGATATGCTGATGTATGTTCCAAATAAAAAATATTTTAAAAAGCATCTATTATTACTTCTTAAACATCCTTTATAATCTCTTCTTAAAAATAGCAAAAATACCAATTATTTTATTAAAATAATCTAACCTAAAAAATTTTCAACGAAAAAATATTTATACTATAAAGAATCCAAAGTGTAATAAGATAACCTTAATTAATATAGATAAACCTGATAAATAATAATGATAAATAATAATGATCTTGTTGGAAAATTAGGAAAAATTAGGAAAATTCTAAAAATATGTATTCTCAATTTCTTACCCTTCTTTTTATACATGTTTCAAAATTAGGAAAATTCTAAAAATATGTATTTTCAGTAATTTTAGTTAATTTTAATTATTTTGCTATTTTCTTCATTTTTATTTAATTTTTATGTGTAAGAAATCTTACTTAATTAGGAAGGGATGCATCAAGCCATATAAAACTATCAAGAAATGTAGTGCTTTTTTCGCTGAACAAGAAGGGGTGTGATTTACTTCTTTTTAATCCATATGCTGTGCAATAGCGTGGTCAGTGTGTCAACTCAAACAATATCAAAATGTTGGGATTCTGGTATGACATTGCAGTCTTCTGTGCAGTACATGAGAGAGGGCATACTTGGCAACTTCAGGAGGAGATTGCTTGCAGTATTAAAAGCTGACAATGATCTTCAACGGCCTTCTGTCCTAGAGTCCTTGATTCACAGGCACTTGAACATTGTCTATCTAGCAGAGCAACATATCAGCATGGACCTTACTCACGGTATTCAAGAAGTTCTACTAATTGAGGCCTTCTCAGGACCTGTGTCTTCTCTTCACTTGTTTGAAAAACCAGCAGAGCAGCTTACTGGGTCGGCCACTGAAGTTGTCTGCAACTGGTACATCGAAAACATTGTCAAGGATGTATCAGGTGCTGGAATCCTTTTTACACCAATCCACAAATGCTTTAAAAGCACGAGGCCTGTTGGTGGATATTTTGCAGAGTCTGTCACCGATCTCAGAGAATTGCAGGCCTTTGTTCGTGTATTTGGTGGCTATGGCGTTGACAGGCTAGACAGAATGATGAAAGAGCACACAGCAGCACTATTGAATTGCATTGACACATCATTACGGTCAAACCGTGAAGTGTTAGAGGCTGTTGCAGGCAGCATGCATTCTGGTGACAGAATAGAAAGAGAGGCATGCTCGAGGCAGATGGTGGACTTGGACACAGTGATTGGATTTTGCGTTGAGGGAGGACAAGCACTTGCTTTTGATCAGCTTCTTGCTGAAGCAGCTGGGGTCGTGCTTGATGAGGGTGCACCCTTGATATATTCACTACTGTCTGGGGTGGTTAAGCATATACCCGAACATATATCTGAAAAGAAGGAAATCAGAAGAATAAGAGGGGTGGCAAACAGTCTTAATATAGTTGGAGATCATGATTCGGAATGGATCAGATCAATTCTAGAGGATGTTGGGGGTGCAAATGATGGTTCTTGGACATTGTTGCCTTATTTATTTGCCACCTTCATGACATCAAATATATGGAATACAACTGGCTTCAATGTTGATACAGGGGGCTTCAACAACAATATCCATTGTCTGGCAAGGTTGGTTTTTCTTGCCCCGCCATATTGTTGAATTGACGGGTCTGGATATACTCCTGAACACAAGAAGTTCAATGCTTCTGAACACATGTATTGCATACGAGCTATTGATCTGAAGTCAGTGGCCCATAACTGGCAATTCTATCCAAATTATTTTTGACTGGGTGACTGGTCATCTCCCATTTAACTATCATATTTAAATTCTGAACTGAACAGATGTCTACTGCATTTGCTACTAATCATGGTATATTCTGTTATGAGGTCTTACGAGGAAGTGTTTAACTCTTCTTGCCTTCTCTCTGTCTCACCAGCCGGGCAACTTTATTCACAATTAATTTAGTAGGGTCATGCATTTGCAATTTTTGTACTACTAGTAAATGAAATGGTTTCTATTATCCATTATTATTATTTTTTTCCTTACAATTGAATATTCTTTGCAGGTGCATGAGTGCTGTGATTGCTGGTAGTGAGATAGTGAGATTGGAACGCGAACATCAGCAGAGACGACAGTCTCTCTCCAGTGGCCATCTTGATGAGGCTTTGGATCCTGAAATACATAGCCGTTTGTCTGCTGAAGCACGTATAAAGTCTGCAATGCAGCTTTTTGTCAAATTTGCAACTGGTATTGTGCTAGATTCTTGGAGTGAAGCCAATAGGTAACGTGCAATGCCTGTCACGCCCCTCACGTAAATACACAGACATGCACACAAGTTGCATATTTGCATCGATTTTTGTTTCCATAAGATCTCATGGTAATTATTTTAAACCACAAGCATCATTCCTTAAAAACTCGAGTTAAATCTCTAGGGTGGCTCCATCAATAATTCTCTCAGCTCAAATACTGAGAAAGGAATGTTGATCTGAGTAGTCTATTTGATTATCTTTATGACCTTTGTTTCCTTTCTCATCATTTCATGCATCTCAATCTCATCTCCCCTTTCTGTGCAGATCTAATCTTGTAGCAAAGCTGATTTTCTTGGACCAACTTTGTGAGATCTCACCGTATCTTCCAAGAAGCTCCCTCGAAGCCTATGTTCCGTATGCAATTCTCCGTTCAATTTATAGCCAGTACTACTCAAATTCTCCATCCATGACTCTGGCACTACTAAGTGTCTCACCCCGCCATTCACCTGCTGTATCACTGTCTCACACATCTCCTGCAGTGAACCATTTTTACGATATGGATAGTGGAAGCCTTCGCAGCACGGATAATAAACATCGAAATGTTCGCCGCTCTGGGCCTTTGGATTATAGTTCAAGCAGAAAAGTTAAACTTGTCGAAGGCTCAACTTCTGGGAGCACAGGTCGTAGTCCACTACCACGGTTTGAAGTCTCAAGATCTGGGCCTTTAATGTACAAGTAGAAAACGGTGAAAATGGCAGGGTCAGGAGTGTTGATAAATTATCAGCTCCTTGTCAATCAGACAAGTTTTGCATCCTGTAAATGTCATAATTCTTTGTTCTTATGTTCCTCGTCGCGCTGCACCTAATGATATAAATTAATGCCCTTTGCGAGAGCAAGATGTTGTGAATTTAGTTGCTCAGGCCGTAGAATCAGCACTCCTCGACTTGTGTCATTTACGATACACATGCAGATAGAATTTTATGAGGCGAATCAGATCCATGGCCACCACAGTAGCCCCAGTATTTTCTCTTGATGTCATAATCCAGGTAACCCTATTTACAAGTCCATGCTACGCCTGAGCTTACAGCTCAAGTGGTACCCCAGCAAAATATATAGCAATGGTAAGATATTTGATAATTGTCACTTGCTGCATCAATTTCTATGCCATCATTTTCTGAAGAAAAAAAAGGATTAGATTCGTTTGAGATATGGTAGGACCAAAAGTTTGTGGTTCTAACAAGCAGAGGTGTCAAATTTGAAATTAGGACAAACCTTAAATTTACCATTTGGTATATTTTATTTCTAAAAAATACAGTTTTTTTAGCTATGTTGAATTTATCTTCATCACTTGTTGTGACATGGTCAAAGCCATTTTCCATGGCAGAATTGAAAGATGTGATGATTCACTGCCTTCAGTAATATTTGAAGACTGTTTAGCAGATATACTAACAGAAAAACCTCAAGTAAAATCTTCAACAAGTCACTTAACAAGTTGAGTATTGAAAATCCCTCCACACCAATTTATCAGTTACAGATCTCCTATACAAGATGGAAATGAATATACACACAAAGGAAAATCGATGAAAAGTATTGCATCATTACCCACTGATCCTTATGCAAAGCTGAATATATATGAAACATACTAATTTTGCAGAATAATTATCATATGATGTTCAGCAGCATGTCATTGGCCAATACATTGAAATCTCTCATATTTCTTTTATTTATTTATTTTGAGCATATGAATGTTATTTGACAGTCACCTCAATTTGTGGGGTTAGGTTCATATCCTACAAACTGTTCCGGAAACATAATTGTCAGAGATTCTAAGAAAATTGCTGTAATGTAAAAGAAGAAGAAGAAGAAAGAAATAATAATAAAATAAAAAGAAGAAGAAAAGGGAGCCAGAGCAGTCTATTTTCTGCCTGATTGTTTCATCCATGGCTGTAGAATGGGAGCCAGACTAATAGTCACAAATCACTCTCTGAGCTGTAAGTTTGTTGGATTGTTCTGCTTTGCTTTGCCTTGCCCTTTTCTTTTGCCAACAGAACCTTATCTTCACTTCATCTGCCTAGTATCATTCATGACGTACTTGAATTGCTTTTTTCTTTAAGAGCTGTTTCTTTGCCTTTTCTTTTGCCAACACAACCTTACTTTTGTGGTCTACCATTTAGAAATATGAAGCACAATAATGGAAGAATGCAAATTCCAAATCTGAAACATCAAAGACAATGTCTCTGTGCTTGAATTCCAAGCCAAGTAGACCAAAACGCCAACTCTCGTCAACAATGGCAAAATATCGAAGAAAAAGTCACTGTAACTGTTAAGTATTCAACATTCTATTTTACTTACAAAAGAGCTCTTAAAGAAATGGGATATTCAACAGTCTATTTACCTTTGAAAAGGAAATTATTGTGACAAGAGCTTAAGACAGTCCCTCCACTTGGGGCAAGTGGTAGAAGATTTCTTACAGCTAAAGTAGTAGGAAATTATTGTCCAAAATGGAATGGAAACATCAATTCAATTTCCTTTCCAACTTGATACTATCGTTCTATAAATGCAGCTATATCCCAAGTGATTTATCTTCATCACTTCCTTTTGCATACACGATTCCTATGTTGGAAAAAAGACACCAATATATCCAAATTCACAATCCGCATGTCTCAATTCATTTTTTTTTTATGCAATTAAAAATAGGGGTCAGTCAATCAACAAAAATAAAATACAAAAACTAAATAAATGCGCAGCACAAAGAATTTTTAAGTGAAAAACCTCAATATAGGAAAAACTAGTCAAACTCTTCTACTCATTCAAATAATAGGATAATAAAGTTCTTTCTTAGCCTAGTTAGAGGATATACATCAAATCACTAATTTTTTTTGTTATTTATTTTTGGGTTCTCAAAAAAACATATATAAAAAAAGTAAAAAAATATATTCAGAAAAAAAAAATAGCAACTTTCCCAACCAATTTTGGTTATTTTCTAGGCGCTTTAAAATTTCACAATGTATTTTTGATTGATGAGAGTTTTGTTGACAAAAAATTTAAATTTGAGGAAGAAAAGTTCAAAATCAAATGTTTATGGACTTAATTAAATTCAAATTTTATTACAATTAAACCCTTTATAAATTCAATTAGACTTTTAACAAAATCTAATTAGTTACTTAAACATCCAATTTTGAATTTATTTTTCTTAAATTGAATTTCTTTGTTAGCAAAGCTTTCATCAATCGAAAATATATTGCTAAATTTCAATATTTGTATTTTTGAACCTCCTCAACCAATTTTTAGCCATTTTTCAAAAATATTTTTTAATTTTTTTTGTATTTTCTCTCTATTTTTTTTTGTAGGGATCCCTAAAAATAGGTGACAACAACTTTCATGGTATATTTATAGCCCACAAATTTTTTTCTTGTGTAAAAAGAAGGACATGCAATGTAATTACCTGAATAACTTTTAATAGGGGATAGATATCCCTTACTTGATATGAATATGGTAAGTCCTTAAGGGACTTTTATACACTTAAAATGATATAAAGAAATTAAATTTTAAGACATCAAGTGTGTTAAGCATATAAAGACTAAGTCCTTCCCTGAGATTACACTTAAGGGAGGTTAGTCACTCCCCTAGACATCCCAAGAGAGGATGACCATTATCTTAGACTTGGTTGTTTGCGAAGTTGTGCTTGAGTCTGACATGTGTGTTAGACCCACATTATCTTGGGCTTGGATGAGTGTCAAGTTCAAGCGTCTTAGGTCTGACATGAGTGCCAGATCCATACTACCTTGGGCTTAACGCAGTACCAAGTCCAAATATTTTAGGCTTAGCTTGTTACAAAGTCTAAGTGCCTTAAGTCTAGAACGCGTGCCAGACTGATACTACCTTTAGCTTGATGCACTGCCAAGTCCAAGCATCTCGAGCCTAGCATACGTGCTAGATACACGTTACTTTAAGCTTGACACTCTGCCAAGTCCAAGCATCTCGGGTGTGTTATGCGTTTCATATCCACACTACCTTAGACTTGGTGCATTACCAAGTCCAAACGCATTGGGTCTGTCTTAAACTTGACTGATTGCCAAGTCCAAGCGTCTTGAGTTTGGTAGGCCTGTCAAACCCCCTCTACCTTCGATCGGACAGGCGTGCCAGATCCACACTATCTTGGGCTTGGCGTATTTTCAAATTCAAGTGTCTTAGGTTTGGCATGTGTTTTAAACCCATACTATCTTAGGCTTGGCGTATTGTCAAGCCTAAATGACTTGGACTTGGCTAAATGACAAGTTCAAATACCTTAAGTCTAGCATGTGTGTCAGACCCATATGTTTTAAAAAATAAAAAAAATTAAATAAAAACTTAATAAAATTGACTCATCACTTTTCATAGGGAGGTAATGAGTCAAAGTTAATTTAAAAATACTTTAAAATGAAAAAAATTACATTATAATTATTTTCTTCGAGTTTTTATATTTTAAAACCGTTTCATAATAACTTCATTATCAATCTTATTAAAGATATCTTTCTTAATATATACAACCAAGCTGTCATTCATCCATTTATCTCCCATCTTATTCCGCAATCTACTCTTAACAATATGCATAGCAAAAACAATTCTCTCCACTATAACAATTACAACTAGTAGAAGTAATGACAATTTGATAAGTATATATAATAATAGAAATATCAAATTCTTCTTTGTTTTTATCATTTTCTCTACAAGACTATCAATACCTTCAATATCAGAGAACTCATTATCACCATGTAGATCAATAATATACGTATCAAGTTGGTCATCAAATACCATAAGATCCACTATAAAGAATTCATTGGGATAAAAATGAGCAAGACGAATAAGCTTTTCTTTGTTGAAAGTAGAGAAAGAGTCACTTGAGTTTAAATATGCCACACAAAGAAGTAACTATATGCTCGTTTAAGTAAAACGATCATCCAACTCAGCAAATTGTACGTTAATGATATTGTTAAACAATTCATAATGGAAATGGTGTATATTTGTAATCCTTTGAGATTTTTGCCTTGAACGCCAACAAAACTTATACTCATTATCTATGTTTAGAATATCAATATCATGTTTGATGCAAAAAGATGACACTTCTTTCAATAAAGGTTCCTAATCATTCTTTCTCATCATTTTGAATCGTTCCTTTGGTGTTTTCATTAAACTCATAACATTTTCTATGTCTTGATTTTTTCTTTATAATACTTGTGAGAACTCATTAGTAACTGCTAGTATCATTCTCAAAGAATGATGCATGAACACAAAATTAAATAATTCCATAATATCTGTTAAAACGACTATTTCTATTCTTTGTTCTGAGTTCATCTCATTCTCCCTTATAATCTCAAGCACATCAAGAACTGATAAAAATATTACAAGTATAACAATAATTATAACATAGTGGGAGCCCCAACAAGTATCACCATACCTTCTAAGAGAAGTTTCTTGATTCAGGCCTTATTAACTAAAAATTTCTTCATTTTCAAGTCCTATAATAATTCTAGCAAATTATTTTTCTCTAATCACCTCTATCATTTTACATAATGCTCTAACTATATTTATAATGCTTAAAATAAAATTGAAGACATCTCCAACTTCATTATATTTCTTTGTAACAGCTACAAGAGTTAATTGAAGTCTATGAGAAAAACAATGTACATAATATGCACTTGGATTGTTATTTAGAATAAGTGCTTTCAAGCCATTGAATTCACCTCACATGTTACTAACTTTGTTATATCCCTAACCACATAATCTTGATATGCTTAGCTCATGTTTAGAAAACAAAACTTCAATAGCTGCCTTGTGTTACGCCCCAAAAATTATAAATAAATTCTAGCAATTTGAGGAGCCAGAAAAAATCTCCACAGATGCACACGACACAATTAAAATTCAAAGGATATCCTTTATTTCTAATACTCTAGCCTTTTATAGGCATTTTACATACTTGCAATAAATAGTAAATAACTGACT